CTAAACTCTCTCATCTCACTGAAATCCAACAGTCCTCAAATGAATGTGAAGTACTTATACCAAGGTATGCTCTGCAATTTCATATTAAACACCTTAAAACTAGGTTAATCACTATTTTCCTCAATACTTCCCCTCATTCATCCACACCCAGAAGAGTACCACTCTCAGAATCATCAAAGTTCAAAACATGAACACTGTATCTACCTCATTTTTATCCTTGCTTCTCAATGCCAGCCTGTCATGAAGCTCCATCAGCTCTACCTTATTGTTTCTTATGCTCACCTTTCTTACCATACTTACAATCACCTTAGCACAGAGCTTTTTCACACCTCATACCTAAACTCTTACAACAGACTTTAAAGTACTTTCTCTATTTTATTAACTCCTCCACCAAATCAATCTTACTGCCACTCCCTTCATCAGGCCACTATCCTGATCAAAAAACATCAGTGGATCTCTCCTGATGACAGAATAAAGTCCAAACTCCTGACCGTGGCATTCAAGGCCCTCCATCCAGATACAACCAATCTTTATAAATGTATTTACCAGTCAAAATTCACTTATTATTGCCTCCTAGCCTTTGCTCTGCTTGTCTCTCCCTAATTCCCACACTTTCCTTTCTTATTGCAAGGAAACCAACTGAGACTATTCCAGGTAAGTATAATCTATCCCTCTTCTGATCACCTCTAATAAGATCTCTGAGAAATTATTTTTATATCACTCATTCAACACTTAACGCATATTAATTCACATAATCTTTTTAAAATGTATGATACCATTATATTTTCTAAGTAACCCCAACTGCATCACAAACTTTTCAAGGGTGAGAACAAAATCCTAGGTTTCTCTGCATTCCCACAATACCTAGCACAATGTTTTGTGCAAAGAAAACACTCAGCAAATATTTCCTAATTATTTAAATATTATTAAATTTATAGGCAGAAATAAATTTAGGGTATTATCTTCAACCAGAAAAGAGTAGCCATGAAATAGGACTTAAAATAAATTGGTTTTCTGGGGGTGTCTCCTCTTCGCACACACCCTGAACAATAAATTCATCTCATATTTAAAAGTTCTACATATTCCCTGATAAAAAAAAAAAAAAAAAAAAAAAAAAGCCTCTAAAAATAATCAGTTTATGTTGTCAGAAACATTAAATAAAGATGGATAAATGGATGAACCAATGGACAGTTGATGGATGGATGGATGGATGGATGGATGGATGAATGTTAGAGAGATGGCTGAAAAGATACATAGATAATTTTTACTAGATGCCTAGAAAATACCAGACAGGCACTGTGCTAAGCACTGCTACATGTATTATTTCATTTAGTTCTCAGAGCAACTCTAGAAGTTAAATAATGTCATTATCTCTGTTTCCTGATAAGAAAGCCAAGGCCCAAAACGGTTTATGAAAACAATAAAAAGTGAAAACTTGCTTAAGGTCATATCTAGTAAATACAGAAGGCAAAATTTCAACTCAGGGTGGTCTAATGACAGGGCAAATGCTATTAGAATTAAAAGTTTCTGAAATCTAAATTAAATAAAATATTATTTTCAATTATTGTCTGAATTATTCTTTACTAATGTATACCATTCCTGTAGATTTTTATTTTTAATATTCTGGTTAGATATTCTAAATACTAATTTAATCAGAGCTTAGTAAAATGATTTACTCTCTTTTTCTTTTCTGTCTACTTCTAGAGTTCCAGATATTTAATTAGTAGTTAACAAATTTAAAAAAGAGAGAGTGAAACGTGGAGCAGGTAATTCTCTAACCAATCCATTTAACTCCCATTCTGGGCAATCTGACAACAAAATTGGTTGAGGAAGTAGTTAAAGCTACTGACACACAAGGCTGGGAGGTTCACTGTAGTTTTTGCACAGTAATTTTGTAACAAATATTTGTTGGTTGTTAACTATCTGTGCTTTTCCTAGCATGCTATTTCTGGTTAGCCTAGATGATCAATATTTAATTATATTCTTATATAGACAATTATGAAAAAAAATAAGAATGTCACTGCCTGTTTATTTCAAGGCCCATAGAAATATGAGATCCAATTTCTACTTTCCAGCTGTGACCAGAGAAACCACACCAGCTATATCAGATACAACTGGAGCTGTTTCACTACAAAAGTCGGTGTTGAGAACAGCCTTGAGAGAAAATGAGATGAGGAACTTGAACAATATGTATTTAACACACTGCCCGTCTAGGGTTGATTTCAGGGAATGCAGAGTAATTTAGATACCTCTTAAAATATGACTGCTATATAACATTACATATATCCTAAATTCTGAGGAAAAGAAATAGAAAATCCTCTCACACGAGGACATGGATTTTTATAAATTGCAATTGTTTGTGAAAGCTGAAGAAAGGTTTTTACCACCAACCCAAATTTCCACATTTTTTACACACACCAAACAGTCCAGTTTCACAAATAATTAAAGTGCTGCTATCTTGTATTTCTCCCTTTATACCTCCACTACCTCCTCCCTTTCT